CATTTATCCTAGCAGTTAGAGCCTCCATTTTTTATTGCATCTCATTAACAGCCTTTTCGATTTTGACTTGGTTAGATTTTAGTTCTTTTATTTCTCCAGAAAGGGATTCTCTAGTGTCTTCTATGCTTTTTTCAATCCTAGCTGGTATCTTTATAATCATTATTCTGAACTCTAGTTCTGACATCTTACTTATGTCCATATTGATTAGGTCCCTGGCAGTCGGTACTGCCTCTTGTTCTCTTTTTTTGAGGTGAGTTTTTCCATTTTGTCCAGAGAAGAATAAATAAATGAGAGAACAAAATATTAAAATGGCAACAACAACCCCAGAGATATATACACTAAACAAATCAGAAGAGACCTGAAACCGGAGGGGGGGAGGGGGCAGGGATGAGGGAAGAGAGAATATAATCAGACAGGTGAGCAGAGTAAAGCAATACCGTGGAATCTGTGTGTATTTTGGTCTGTTTTTTAGAAAACTATAACCCAAAATTGTTAAGAAAGAAAAACTTACATATGTATAAAAATAAAATTAAACACAATTAAAGGGTAGAATGTATCTGTAAAAATGGAAATTAAAAGACAAGAAAAAACAAAAGGAAAGAAAACAACAACTACAACAAAGGAAGGGATATAAACAGACAGGTGAGCAGAACAGAGCAATACACTACCTCCTGAGTGTATTTTGGTCAGTTTGTTAGAGGAAACTACATCTCAAAATTGTAAACAAAGAAAAAGTTACATATACAAAAATAAAATTAAATACACTGAAAGGATAGAATGTAACTGTAAAGACGAAAATAAAAAAAGACTTTAACAAAACAAAACAAAACAAAAAAGAAGAAAAAAAAAGAAAGAGAATATGATCAGACAGGTAAATAGAACATAGCCATTTACTAGATTTTGGGTGCACTTTGGTCTGTTAGAAGAAACTCCATCCCAAAATTTTAAAGAAAGAAAAAGTATATATATATATATTTAAGTATATATGTATATAAGTATATATACTTATATAAGTATATACATAGTGTATATATATGTAAAGTGTATATATATATACACACACAAATATAAGATTACAACGAAAGGATAGAGTATAACTAAGAATGAAAATTAAAAAAGAATTTAAAAAGGAGCTGATAAAATAAGAAATTGGTTGAAAAAGGAAAGAAAAAAAATTTAAAAAAAAGAAAATTAAAAAAAATTAAAGTTGAAAGACTAAAGAATCATGGGGAAGAAAGCCATGAATTCTATGTGCTGTATTCCCCTAGCGCTGGAGTTCTGCCATTGTCATTGATCGGTAAACTTGGTCTTGGCTGGCTGTTCTTGCTGATCTTCTGGGGGAGGGGCCTGTTGCCGTAGTTCCCAAATGTCTTTGCCGGAGGCAGAATTGACCCGCCCTTGCCCGGTCTGGGCTAAGTAATCTGCTCGGGTTTGCTCTTGGGAGCTTTTGTTCCCTGCAAGATTTCTGAACAGCTTTGGAGGACGAGAGTGAAAATGGCGGCCTCCCAATATCTGCCCCGGAGGAGCCGAGAACTCAGGGCTCCACTCCTCAGTGACCCCTCAGAGAAAAGCAATCAATCACTCCTGTCTCCCCCATCTCCCGCTGCACTCGGTGCTCACCCGGCCTGTGACCAAGCATTTCTATCTCTGGCACCCAACCCTGTGTGGAGTCTCCAAACCCAGCAGATCCCTGCAGTGCGCTCCCGGGCCACTCCTCCTGGGGCGGGGGGGGGGGGGCGAGGGAGGTGAGTATCCCTGGATCTGCCGCTTGTTGGGTCCCTGCTGGAGGAGCAGTGGCCCGACTGTGCCGTGGATCTCAGTTTATGGCAACCCCGAGCTGAGAGCCTGCTCCACGGCTCCATCTCTGCAGCTGACTTCCCTGCTCTGATACCTGGGAGCTCTGCCACACTCCAGCACCCCTGGTCTTCCTGTGACCCCGAGGGTCCTGAGACCACACTGTCCCAATGAGGGTTCCACCCCCTGGCTTAGCCACTGGAGTGACATCCCTCAGCAGAACTGACTTCTAAAAGTTCTGATTTTGTGCTCCGCGGCTCTATCACTTGCCAGAAGCGGCCAACGGAGGCCTCCTCCCCGGCAGTCTATCCTCCCGAATATCGCCTCGGATTCACTTCTCCGCACGTCCTACCTTCCAGAAAGTGGTCGCTTTTCTGTTCAGAGAGTTGTTGCTCTTCTTTTCTTCCATCTCTGGTTGAGTTAGCAGGTGTTCAGAATGATTTGCTAGCTAGCTGTCTAGCTGAATTTCTGTGTCCAGACGAAACGAAGGCCTCCTACTCCTCCACCATCTTGGACTCTCTTCTCTCATTTTGTTCCATTTAAAAAGCAGTGTGATAGTTTCTGGGGCGCCTGGGTGGCTCAGTCGGTTAAGTGGCTGCCTTTGGCCCAGGTCATGATCTGAGGGTCCTGAAATCGAGCCCCACATCGGGCTCCCTGCTGAGCAGGGAGCCTGCTTCTCCCTCTCCCTCTCCCTGCCGCTTCCCCTGCTTGTACTCTCTAATAAAAAAATAAAAAATAAAAAATCTTTAAAAAAAAATAGAAAAGCAGCGTGGTAGTTTCAACAAATTGCCACATATCCTTCAACACTCCTCCCATGCAATGGTGGAGCTTATTTCCCCTCCAAGACTGTGAGCTATACTTAATGACTTGCTTCTAGTGAATAGAATACCACTTTAGTGATGGTGTCTGACTTGCAAGACAAGATCACAAAACACGTTGCAGCCTCCTTCGTGTGCTCTAGGATTGCTCGCTTTGCAGGTAGCCAGCTGCCAGCCCCTAAGGACACTAAAAAAGCCTTGTGAAAAGGTTCCTGTTTTGAGGAACTGAGACCTTTTACCAAGAACCAGAGAACAACGGAGTCTTCTTGCTAATAGCCATATGAATGAGCTATCTTGGAAGTGGATCCTCTACCCCCAGCAAAGCCACCCCCAAATTCCTGATCCTCAGAAACTACGGAATAACATTCACTGCTTTAGCCACTAAATTTTGATAAATTGTTATGCAGCAAGAGATAACTAATAAAGACTTGGGTAACATGAGTGTTACCACCCTAGCACCTCAAATTGTAGGCATGGCTTTAGAACTGAGCAGTAGGTGGAAGCCGGAAGGACTTTTTTTTTTTTTTTTTTTTTTTAAGATTTTATTTAAGAGAGAGGCAGAGGGAGAAGCAGGCTCCCTGAAAAGCAGGGAGCCAGATGCAGGACTCGATCTCAGGACCCTGGGATCATGACCTGAGCTGAAGGTGGACGCTTAACTGACTGAGCCACCCAGGTGCCCAGTTGGAAGGACTTTGAGCAATATTAGTGAAAGCCTAAGGTTCCTTGAATAGATTATTAGAAATCTGACAGCCATTAAGTAGGCTGCCAGTAGTAGCTTCAGGGGAAGTGAGGAACATGTTATTGGCAACTGGAGAAAGGGGGTTATTACTCAGTGGCAGGACATTTAACAACATTGCCACCTACAGTAATGTGGAAGGTAGAAAATTTAACAAGAGAACCGAATAACCTAGCTAGAATTCCAGTCAAAATGTTGAAGTTGCCACCTACCTTCTTCTTGCTGCTTATAGTAAAACGTGAGAGGAGAGAAGCTTGGAAGGACTGCTACAAAGGATCCAGCAAAATGGTGCAGCCACTTTGGAACACAGTTTGGCAGTTCCTTACAAAACTAAACATACTCTTTTCTATGATGCAACTGCTCTCCTTGGCATTAAGCCAAAGGGGTGAAAACTTATGTCCATACCTGCACATAGATGCTTGTAACAGCTTTATTCATAATTGCCAAAACCTAGAAGCAACCAAGATGTCCTTCAGTAGGTGAATGGATAAACAAACCGTGGTATATTCAGAGAATGGAATGTTATTTAGCACTAAAAAGAAATGAACTATCCAAACCATGAAAAAACATGGAGGAAACATAAATACATACTACTAAGTGAAAGAAACCACTATGAGAATGGTATATAGTGTCTTGACTCCCAACTCTATGACATTCTGCAAAAGGCAAAACTTGAGTAAAAAGATCAGTGGTTGCCAGGGGTTAGGGGGAAAATGGGGGTGATTGGCAGAGCAAAGAAGATTTTAGGGGACAGTGAAACTATCTTGTATGATACTATAATGGTGAATAAATATCATTATATATTTGTCTCAACCCACAGTATATATAAAACTAAGAGTGAGGGCGCCTGGATGGCTCCGTCATTAGGCAACTGCCTTCGGCTTGGGTCATGGTCCTGGGGTCCTGGGATCGAGTCCCACATCGGGCTCTCTGCTCCGCAGGAAGCCTGCTTCTCCCTCTCCCACTCCCCCTTGCTTGTGTTTCCTCTCTCACTGTGTCTCTGTCAAATAAATAAATAAAATCTTTACAAAACAAAACAAAACTAAGAGTGAACCCTAATGTAAACTATGACTTGTGGTGATAATGATGTAGGTTCATTAACTGTAACAAACATGTCCCTCTGGTGCACTCAGTTTTGCTGTGAACCTAAAACTGCTCTAAAAAAAGTAAGTCTATTTAGGGGCACCTGGGTGGCTCAGTTGGTTGAGCAGTCAACTCTTTGTTCCGGCTTAGGTCATGATCTCAGGGTCCTGGGATAGAACCGTGTGTCAGGCACTGCAGTCAGCAGGGAGTCTGCTTCAGGATTCTCTCTCCCTCTGCCCACCCCCACCCCCACTTTCTCTCTAAAATAAATACATACATCTTAAAAATAAAAAGTCTATTTAAAAAAAAGGATCAAGGACTGGTTTTGAAAATTCCCAGACCTAAGGTATATATGGGAACTTAGTTTGTCACAAAGATGGCACTGCCTATCTGCGGAGATATATGTAACATAGTAACTGACAAAGAATTAGTATCCAGAATATATAAAGATCTCCTACAAATCAATAATTAAAAAAAAAAAAGCTATAAAAAAAGAACCAAATGGCAAAAATCTATGTGAAACAACCTCAATCTCTCTAGCAATCACTGAAATCCAAGTTAATACAATATCATTTTATAAACAAGAGTATTTCCTCTTGAGCCTTTATTATTCATTTTCTTACACATGTAGTTTGCTTATGCTATAAATATTTTTGCATTTTGTTCTTTTCACTTACAACAAGCATTTCCTATTGTAAACATTTTTATGGCTTCAAAATATTCCATCATGTGGACAAACTGCAGCTTAACCATTTCCACACTGAGATTGGATTGACAAAACAATAAAAGCAGAATTTTAAGGATATAGTTACCATTTAAGAAGTGCCCTATACAAACATGGTGTTTAAATAGTACAGAATTAGCTGTGCTCTGTTCTCATCTGCATTTTTAAATAAGTACTGACCAGACTGTACTAGAAAAGTTTACTTCCTTATAAAAGAGAAAAAGCTCCATGTCAGTGCCTTACTTTTCTATTCATTTTCAAGATCTTTTTAAAATCTCATAAAATATGTTTAAAAAAACAATAGTTAATTTTTAGTTTTAATTTTTATACAATGAAAGGATGTGACTTGGTAGAACTGTATTATTCTTGGTAACACAGTTTAAAATGTGTTTATCTAAAATTGTTTGAAGAACAGAATATTCTAATTAAATATTCTGATTAATTCTGAGTTGCCATGTGACACTTTAGATTATAAATTTCCAAAGAATTAGAATATGAGGTAATGAAAACAAAATAACTTTTATGAAATTATACTACCTTTTAAACCATAACTTTTTTGATTCAGGAATATTTCCTACTGCTTTCCTGTTCATCATAAGCATTAGTTTGTTAGCAAATAGCCATTTCACCCTCTTGACAGCTGAACTTCCCCCTTTTTAGGATGCTCTCAGCCCTATGCTGTGCCTTTTCTGATAGCTCCATAAGCAGCCTTCTATTATATAGTCATTTTGTAAGCCTATTTCTTTCATTGGATTGAAGGTTTCCATATGGCACAAACACGGTGTTTGCAACCCACATACTGAGCATTCAATATACATTTTTATATTTCAAATTAATTCCCCCCAAAATGGAGGAGGGATAAAACAAATATTTGTAGCAACTCTTGTTGTTTCATTTCACAAAACAAAAAATAAAATAAAAACAGATATCTAATCTTTGATGAGAAATTTACTGAATGCTTACTTTGTGGCAAATACTAAGTGCTTATAACATTCTCAAAATTTTCAAAACAATCAAGGAGGTAGGTGGTATTATATTTACACAGAGAGAACTGAGGGAATAAATGCACTGAACTAGCACTAGTGATATAGTAGAGAACAGACTCTGCCTTTTGTGGAACTTGCTGAAATCGCATACAAAATGTATCAGCATTCTAGATTTATATATAACTTTATATATATTATGAGCTTGGAAATGGGAGTTCATCCCTGAAATGGATCCATACTTAGGACTGACAAAAAACAGAGACTGAAAAGTTGAAGCTCAGACTCTGATGACCTCTTCAAGGTAAGAGGGACCCTGAAAGATCACTCTGCCTTTGCTGACAGCATCCAACCTTGTGAGAATCTGATCTTCGGGTTTACAGAATATATTCTCAAGAGAAGATTTATAAAGTAATAAAAGGAATTGGGTAGAATTAAGATACTATGCAATTAAAGAAATAAGAGTTAAGACTTTCACCTTTTTAAACTAGATATTTTTCTATCTTGCATATAAACCTCAGATAAGAACAGGGTGAAGCCACAGTAGAAGTCTGAACACAGAATGGACTTTGGCCTCCTGGCCTCTAAGTGGGGTACGAAGGTCCAGGGGAAGGAAGGATAAGACTTCCAGGTACCATCACAAGTCATGCAGCAAAGCTGTGAACCCTAGCTGCTATGCCATTTTGAATTTTATTTACCTCTCTCTCTCTCGAGACACCCAGTTCAAAAATACAAACCCCTCCCCCCAAAGAGAGAGAGAAAGAGAGAAGTTTCAGGTCTGAAATACCAAATTTGCATCAGACACTCTTCCTGTTAAACACTGAAGTTGCTGAAGTTGACTCAGAGCTCCTCTCACCAGGCCAGTGCAACCTAATCAGTAAACTTCAAGATCTTCACAACTAATCTCCAAGGCCCCAAAGTTTCAAATAAAACCAAAAGTGAACACAGAAAGTGAACAAGAGAAGTTTTAGAAGCTACTTCCTAATTCTGGGTGGGCAGAAAATTGCCTTTTACTCTAAAGTAACATAGAACACTTTTCTTATCTATCACAGTATGATCTAGGAAATCTGAGGCAAAGGCACCAAACTATTTCCAAATGCAATGACTTGCAAACAGGATGACCATGGCTCTGTGTCCCCTGAAATCTACTCAAACGTGCCTAGGGAAGGGAGACCAACACAGCACTCAACACACACAACAGTACCTATGTGACATTAGGAACCTTTTATTGAGACAAAGCAAACAGTGGCCTGAAAATACCACAGCATGAAGGCAGGCTGAGGAAACCAATCTGATTTCTTTTTCCTCTATGGCGGCCCAAACGACGAACTAATAAAGACACTCCAAGATTACTATTTATACTTAAGGCAATTTAAAAAGCGAGGTCTTAACCAAAAAGCCTGTACCTGGCATTCAAAAAAATACATTTTTTGGATGGACTAAAAGACCTAATTGGCTACGGAAAATCTGTACAGCAGGGACCTGTTTTCAGCAGGTAAGCCTATATACAAGTAAGAATCTCTTACTCTTGTAACATTGTCCTGTTTTAAGAGAAAATGTTTAACTCCCATGCCCTGCAGAGGTTTCTATGACCCCAGAGAAGCACAGACCTATCTCTATTAGAGAACTATTTACACTGCACTATAAATACACATACAACACACATCTGCCCCCTCCTATTTCCCAAATAGGCTGTGAATGCCTTCTGTGAGGAGTTATGGCTCATTCATTTTTATTATCTACAGTGACAATTAGTAGGCACCCAACATCTTTTTTTTTTTTTGCATGAATGCTAAATGAAAATGATTTTACAACACCACTACTGGTTACATTTCAAACATTCCCACCATTACCCATCTCCAAAACAAAAACACTAAATTGCTACCAAGTTTACTATGTTTTTCACAATATAGCGCTTCAGGACTTTTTAATGTAAATAAACATTTTTGATTAACTAATTTTCAAAATAATGATACAAATTTAGCATTCTTCTTGGAATGGAAAATTTGCTTGGAGATTACTTCATTCTTTTTCTCTTTTTCAAAAGTGCATCTCGTAGTGCCAGCTGGAACATAAGAAAAAATATTTAAACATGGCAACTCTTGGGTACCCCGTTATACTAATTTGGTTATATGGCCGTGTACTGGAATCACTAAATCAACAAATCATCCTGAGATAATTGTGTGTCTTCGGTGTGTGATGGATACTATTCCATGAATTCCCAAGCACCATTCTTTGATTCCTAGTAATTTTTTAAGAGCCCTAGCTTTTGAATTTTAACAATATAGATATGTGTTTTTATTTGTTTGCTTTGTTAAAGAATTTTTGGGGGTGGGATTGCCTGACTCTAAATGTTCAAATTTCTTGGATTTTATGATTTTTAAATTATTGACTCCTTGCCTTTATTCATATCTGGGTCTTGGTATGTCTTTGTAGATGGGCAGAATAGCTAAGGATAGACACTTAAGGTAGAAAAATTAACAAGTTCATTTTAACCTAATTTGTATGGCTGAGGATGTATTTCTCAGACTCATCTGTGCCTTATTTTCTCATCTGTAAAATATAAAATCACAGTACTGCTCGTATTGTTGTATACTGATTTAGTTAAAATAAAACGGAAAGCTCTAGAATAATCAAGGGACAGGGTAAGAACTGTATGTTAGATAATGATGTTATAACCCAAGGTTACATAAGTTTCATTCTGCTCATTAAACTTTGTAATAAAGCACAGACTACTCACTAGTCTCACACATATCTCAGTTCCCTTCTCCCTTCAACTGCTACCGTTTGAACATAAGGAGCCTGTATATTCTCCTTCCTCTTCCTTTATACCTTTCTAAAGGTTTGACTTCAAGATCCTCCTCTCTCTGCCATAAGCTTCACCTTCCTTTTCTAGTCTCACCTTTTTACATATTCTTTTTTTAAAAGTTAAGATTTACTTGTTTATTTAACAGAGAGAGAGAGTGCACAAGCAGGGGGAATGGCAGGCAGAAGCAGAGGAAGAAGCAGGTCCCCGAGGAGCAGGGAGCCCAATGCTGGGCTCTATCCCAGGGCCCTGGGATCATGACCTGAGCCGAAGGCAGATGCTTAACCGACTGAGCCACCCAGGTGCCCCACCTTCTTATATATCCTATGAGTATACTCTAAAAATGTACAGTAAGACCTCATGTATACTTTTAAGCCATGTAAGACCCTTTTATTCAGGACAATAAAATACCACTGAGAGGTAGAAGGGGTATAAAATGTGATGCTCCTTTTCCAGAGGGTGCTTCGGGTGTGTGAGATAATAGAAAATATATACTGGTCTCTAGCCCTGGTTCCTGGCACAGAGCTCCTAAAACTGGTAATTTCCTAAGTGATAAGGGCATCTCCTTTTAATATTTGTCTTTGACCCGGTCCCTGACACAGGGGTCCCAAAACCCTTGTAAATTCCTAAGTGATAAGAGCACTAGGAGCATCTTTTGTACTAATGAGGCAAGTAAGTGGGCTCCTGGAGAGGGGCTGATCCAAGAAAGACCTTGGAATTTTTGGCAGCCCTCACCCCCAACCCACACACTTTTCCAGAGAGGGGAAAGAGGCTGGAAATGGAATTAATAATTGATCATGCCTATGTGATGAAGCCTTCAAAAAACCTCCTTAGTGTGAGGTTCTGAGAGCTTGCAGGTTAGCAAACACATCTGCACCGGGAGGGTGATGAATCCCACTTCTGTCCACAGGGACAGAAGCTTCTGCATTCAGGACCCTCCCAGACCTTGCCCTATGTATCTTTTCATCTGGCTGTTCATCTATATCCTTTATTACATCCTTTAATAAATGGGTAACCTTAAGTAACCATTGCGCTGAGTCCCATAAGCAGCTGTAACGAATTAATCAAACCCAGGGAGAGGGTCACTGGTCAGAAACATAGGTTATCACCTGGGCTTGCGACTGGTTTCTGAAGTGTGTGTGTGTTTTGGGGGAGGAGGGCTGCGGAAGGTGGCAGATGCAGTCTCATGGGACTGAGCCCTTAACCTGTGAGATCTGACACTATCTCCAAGAAAACAATGTCAGAATTGAATTGTAGACACCCAGCCAGTATTACAGAAAATTGCTTGTGTAGGGACAAAACCTCCACACACTGGGTGACCACACACTGGGTGACCGTAAATGTCAGAAGTGAAGTATAATGTGTGAGTAGCAAAAGAAACACACAAAAGGTAGACTGAAATGGGTTTTTCTATTTTAGGGTCACAGGTCAGTTTGAGGGATGCTCTGAAGTTGCACTGCCCAATCCAGTAGCTACTAGTTACATGTGGCTTTTGGATGTTTGAAAAATGGCTAGTCCAAACTGAGATGTGCCACAAGTGTAAAACACACACTGGATCTCAGTTAGTTCTAAAACAAGAAGGTACGGTATCGGGGCGCCTGGGTGGCTCAGTCGGTTAAGCGGCTGCCTTCGGCTCAGGTCATGATCCTGGGGTCCTGGGATCGAGCCCCACGTCCGGCTCCCTGCTCAGCGGAGAGCCTGCTTCCCCCTCTCCCTCTGCCTGCCACTCTGCCTACTTGCGCTCTCTCTGTCAAATAAATAAGTAAAATCTTAAAAAAAAAAAAAAAAAAAAAAAAAAAAAAGAAGGTATGGTATCTCTAATAACTTTTATATTGATTACATATTGAAATGATACTATTTTGGATATATTAGGTTAAATAAGATATATTACTAAAATGAATTTCACCTCTTTCTTTTACTTTTTTATTTTAAAATTATTTATATGGTTTGTATTGAATTTCTATTGGGGAGTGCTGGTCTAGGGTGAAGAAGAGAATTAAGAGAAAATTAGGAATCTAGAGTCAAGTTTTATAATGGAGAGATCTTGAAGAAAATATAAGGCAAGGACACATAACTAGAAATTCTGATTAATTTCAGGTTCCAAATGGCAAGGAAACTGGAAAACAAGGAAAAGACATTCTTGAACCAACAGGTCCAATGTCCAATGAACTCAACTCTTACTTTTAAATAAAAAATTCTTTCATCTCATGACTCAAGAGGTGCTGGCCAGGAACAAAGCAAGGCTTCCAAATCACGCCAAAAAAATCTCGCTAAAACAACAGAGGAAGTAGGGAGTGGGGGGAACATCCAAGGTCACAAAATGTAGCAACGTCACAAAAACTTCATAATGAAGGAAGGAACAAACCATGGTGCAACTCAGTGGTTACTATTCTTTAACCGTACAATCTTATAAAGCTCTGCTGAAGGATAAGCTAATAGATGAATCAATTCAACTGTGAATTTAAGTTGAATTGGCAAAATTCAGATATTTATTTATTAACATTTATTTACTTAGGGAGAGTGAGAGCAGGAGGAAGGGGCAGAGGGAAGAGAGAGAATCCCAAGTAGACTCCCTGCTGAGCGCATGGAGCTTGATCTCACGACCCTGAGATCCAGTCAGATGCCTAACTGAAAGCCATCTGGCATCCCAAAATTCAGATATTTAAAATCCGAAATGGCACCTTTCTTTTCACCTCAATTTTAACAACCTCTATTCAAAATGCTGTCACTTTATTATTTATATAATGTTGTTGGACATAGCTTAGAACCAGAAAAATGAAATAAGCAGATAGGTAGGTTTTATTTTTTTATTTTTTAAATATTTATGTATTTGAGAGAGAGAGAGCAAGCGAGCGAGCACAAGCAGGGGGAGCAGCAGAGGGAGAGGGACAAGCAGACTCTACTGAGCAGGGAGCCCGAAACGGGGCTCGATACTAGGACCCCAGGATCATGACCTGGGCCAAAGGCAGATACTTATCCGACTGAACCACCAAGGCGCCCCAGGTAGGTTTTAAATGGCACTTAATTCAGTTAATGCTGCCTTGGTGCCCCCATAGACGGAACACTGCCCTAGAAATCTGGCCATTAACATTCCGGCCTGGCAGACTTATCTTGGCTAGCAATTTAGGAACACTGGTTTACTCTTGACTTGATTTCCTGGTGATCCTTCAGAATACATTTAGAAATACTCTGGTACATTCCCCGTAGAGAAAGATATGAAAACATGAATTTGTTTTACTATAATAAATTACTAAAATAAGCAAGCCTACTGAGCAGCACCAGACTACATAGCAAAGGCTATAAACAGATAAAATGAAATCCTCAAAACCTGTAAACATAAAAGCTTTGCAAAAGGGCACATAAGGAAGGATCAAAATATTGTCTTTCACAGATGGCAATGTCGAGCAATGTTCGTATAGGGATGACCTTACAGACCATCTAGCTTACACTCCTTTCGTTATAGAGGAAGAAAATGGACTCCCCTTTGGTCACACAGGTGAATCTCAACCAAGTCAGGTGTAGGATTTACATGTCCTGACCACTTTCTACCTCTCCATGCTCTCCAATACTCCCCATTAATCCTAAGACACTCATAACACAAGGTCCTAAAGGCACAACTGTCTCAAGAGTAAAGAAGTCTTAAAATGACAACAGTATTCGAACCAATCAAGTTTCATTGAACTCACCTGCTTTTCTCGGAAGGAACGCTTGTTTTTTGCCCGGACATTATGGCTATATCGCATCATCATAAAGTTCTTCTGTTTTTTCTTCTCTTTATTTGTGGAACTGGAAAATGGGTTCATTTTGGTTTTCTTCCTCACAAATTCTTTTCGGTCTGTCTTTCCAGCCTAGCACACACACAAAAACACTTCAAGAGTTATCTAATCCACATACGTGTCTCCTCTATGCCAGGCTCTATTCCATCCTCTACTGGATGTCAAGGACAAAAAGATGGATGGAACTCAGTCCTTGCTCCCCAGGAACTCACTCCAGGGGAGAAATGACCATGATATATTGTAATGGAGCAAGGGAAGCTCAGTGGAGGAAAAGAGTGTAATTCAGCCAGTCAGATCAGAGGAGCTTCCTAGAAAGGGAGATGGATGAGCTGTTTTTGCAGGATGAAGGCACTCATGGTGGGAGAAAGGAGGGGAAGGGTAGAGCATTTCAGGAAGTACAGATAGAATATGAGAAGGTAGAGAAGAAAGAACATGGATTTTTAAACTTATCTAAACAGGTTTCAGTACAAATGGAATGCACAGGGTATTGTGGAACCAGTATGGGATGATGCCTAAAACAAATAAAGGTGTAGAAAATAAAGCTGAAAGGTAGGCAGTTGGGAATGCTGGAGATGTGCAATCACATGCAGCCCACAGCACCTGCCAGAGGCTATTCTTTAATTAGTGTAAACATTTCCCTGCTTTCCTAAGAGCTCGGATAAATGCACTGAGCCTCCCAGATACAAGAACAGGTGCTAGTGCCTTTGTGTGTTCCCCATCTTGTTTTGGATGTTGGTTACATGGCTATCTAGTTGTTAAAACTCATCTAACAGAACACCTAATATCTGTGCATTTTATTCTATGGTAATTATACCTTTATTTAAAACATCAAAATAAAAGACTGCCATTCTATGGCTATTCATTTTATTTCATTTTTCATCTTATTTGCTTTCTGTTTGAAGAACCAGGGAAAGATATGCTTCACTTACCATTGCTGTTGCTAGTCTTGTCTCCTTGTCAGACTTTGGCTTCTTATGAAGGCGTTCAATGTCCCGAAGAGAAAGTAACTCACCCCTGGGGTAAAGAACAAATATAATATGAAACCAGGGTGGAGGTCCTTTCCCTAATACTTTCATCACCACGTGAGCTGACTGAAGAAGCTCTGGTATGTGTGTTGTTTTACCTGGGCTCCTCATCACTATCGATTTCAATATATTTCCTCTTTTGGGCTTTCCCTGGGGCAGCGTCGAGTTCTTTCCTCATTTGGGCCATGCGGATTTTCTGGAAGTCTTCCTGAGTTAAAACTCGGCTCGTGCTAATGGCTGCAGCTTTGGCTTTCCGCTCCTCCATGGGCATGCCGTTGAGCTTCTTGGACTTGGAAGTACACAACAGAGGTTTGAAGAGCTACTAGCTCAAGTGAAAGTTAACACTATTAGTCCCCCCCCCCCAAGGCCCAGCATGAATTAGGTCTTAATAAACATCAGAGTGATGCACCTATACAAGGAAATTTCAGGACTTACTATTTCTTGCTGTTCTTCATCAGAAGAGTGGTGCACATCAACCCACTCACCATCGGCATCTGCCTCCTCACTGAGACTGGTACTTTCCCACCCATCTGTGTGAAAAACAAGACACTGTTAGTGCTGTCACTTTGTGTACTCATGTTAGGTTGAAATAAATCAAGCAAAAGTAAGGTAAAAGTGAACAGAGCTCTACGGACTAATACTTGAGCAATATTTATTGTTAAATAAACCACATCAATGGGAAATACACACGACCATGTATCTACCATGAGCTAAACCTTATAATCACTTTCTTTAACTCTCACGACTCAACAGAAGAGGAAGAGACCCTGTAAGTTAAGATACCTATCCCAAGCCACATTGCTAGAAAATGTGGCCTACGGTGAAATCATAAAAATCATGTCTGATTCTAGAGCCCATGTTCTTTCCACCAAAGCATGTCCATCAAAACAGCACCTGGACATTATCTTGGCCACACAGCGAGGGTCTGACAACTTGTATAAGCATATTTATACATGTTTTTAGAAACTAGTTAGAAACAGTCATTCAGAGAACTGAAGTCGAAGATTCTGGATGTGAAAGAACCTTGCAGATACCTCAATGAAGAGGCATTAGCTCTTAACGGAGTCACCACAATAAGCTTTCAAAATCACAGATACTTGCAATTTTTCAGTTCCCCATAAGAAAGTGTTTCAGCTTTTTGGTATGGCATAAACACAACCACTCTTACCGAGGCCTCAACTCTATCTCTAGTCTGGTATCTTGCTATGTTCCACCCTGTATCCTACATTGTAATAGTTTCTTAAATCCTTCAGGGCTTTGCTCATAGTTTGCCTGGAAAATCTCCACTTCTATCATTCCTCACTTATTATTCAAGATACAGCTCATGGGTCAACATCTCTCTGAGGTCTTTTTTTTTTTTTTTTTTTTTTTTAAAGATTGATTTATTTATTTTGAGAGAGAGAGTGCGAGCACTCGAGCAGGTGGAGGGACAGAGAGGGAAACAAGGAGACTCCCCACTGATTGGGGAGCCTGAGATCATGACCTGAGCTAAAACCAAGAGTCAGATGCTTAACTCATTAAGACACCCAGGTGCCTCCCTTTGAGGCCTTTTTTGAACCTCTGAGGTAGACCTGACTTCTCTCCTGCCCTTAGGCCCCATTTTAATCACAGATCTTGGTAACACTTTATTGCTGAGCTATTTATAAAAGATCTTCAAGGACAGGCACCATACCATTCATCTTTACATTGACAGTGGCTAGCTCACAGGTAATGCTTTAAAAAGTTTTGCTGATATGATGAATTAATTAATATGAAGAGATAGGACTCTAGCAATCAAGGTAATAAAGGCTAACCATGGAAATCAGAATGGAGTTTTCTCAAGCATTCTTCAATAATGTTCAACAAGTGTTCTCCTTCAACAAGGAGTATCCTGGAAGATTGCTCAGGACTAATCTTCATCATTTTTTCTCGACAATGAACAAAAAACTATTATTTTTTCCCAAGTGGCCAGCATGCTCTTGATAAGGGGCAGCTGTCCTGAGGACATGACATCTACACTACACTGCAAGTTCCCTAAGAGCAGGAACCATGCCCATTTTGATCCTCAATGTCTGTAACAATGCTTGGCACATAGTCCTTGCTCAATAAATACCTGTCCAATGAATGTTCAATCAGCATAAAGATTTCAAGGTCAATACAGTATAGGAGTGATTTTATCTTGAAAAATGGTGAAATGAAAATGAACCTTCACCGTTTTCAGCATCCTCTTCTTTTTCAACTTCTAGAACTTCTGCTCCTGGAATGTAATCTTTAGCATCTAATTCTCCATATTCTTGCACTCTTGCTTCTATGGAGGCCTCTGTAGGCTTACCCTAAAGGAAAGAACACTGTTTCGTTTTGTTTTAAAGATTTACTTATTTGAGAGGAAGAGTGAGAGCGCGTGTGCGCTCGTGCAAGTGGGGGGAGAGGCAGAGGGAGAGAATCTCAAACAGACTCCCTGCTGAGCATGGAGCCCCACACAGGGCTCGAGCTCATGACCCTGAGATCACGACCTGAGCCAAAATAAAGAGTTGGACGCTTAACCAACTGAGCCACCCAGGCGCCTCCCCCAACCCCCAACACTGTTTTTAGTAAGGTTCTTAGACTGCATTATTCATGAAAAGGATGAGGTCTTGAGGCACCTGGGTAGCTCAGTCAGTTAAGCATCCCACTCTTGATCTCAGCTCAGTATTGATCTTAGGGTTGTGAGTTCAAGCCTCATATGTGAGTTTAAGCCTCAAAAAAAAAAAAAAAAAAAAAGGATTCTCTAAGAGTATGAATGTAGAAGAGAGAATCATGAACAAGAGAAGTAATCAAAGGACAAAAACAATCCACTTATGCCTTGGGTCAAAGTAAATCCCTCAGCCAGAATTCTGCCTATTTTTTTGCTCTCCTCTGATCTGAATCAGGAAACTGGTAGTTAATAGAGAACTGTTCCAATTCTCAAGTCTTGCGATCATCACCTCTTTCTGTTACATACACAACATTTCTCTTCCTTCCCAATTCCAAAGAGGTGCTATCTGGCTGGGGAACAGCCCGTTCGATACTGGCATCAGTTACTGACTGATCTCTGGAATTCCAATCTGTTAACGATGTCAAAAGTTTTCAGGATGAAACAGCCTGACAGGTCTATAAGACTCAGTCAGCATCAAAGAGCATGTGCCAACTACAAAATAGTTAAGGCAATGGTATTCAATTCAACTGTATTCTGATAATAAAATTGCCAATACTCATAGTGGAAGCTTCATAAACACCAAAACTCATACTGTAGGAAGTTATTCTCACCTTCTGAGACTGGAACCTTTGGATCAACATATGCATGTTTCACCTACCCGGAATTTCTTCTGCAACATCTTAGGATTCAGTGTTCGGAAGAGCTGAATCAAAGTTCTAGCAGACATCATCACATCTGTAAAATAATATCTTTAATTAGGAACTCCAGAGCAAAGAGTCTATTGAGAAAAGAGTCACTTGATATTCTTTGATCTACAGAGAATAACATGCATCTTACTCTTATCTCTGTGTGTTTTATACTGAGCCAGGTCTTGGAGAAGTTCTTCAGTCATGGCTAGAGGACATCGAGCTGTTATCTCTTTTATAGCATTGATTCTAGAAAAGGAAAATGAATTTAAAAAGCCCAAACAGCAATCTCAGATGGTTCAATCCAGGGAGGTTTCCTAAAAAGACTAAATAAAAAGGTATATAAATTGGGGACTTCCAGGGTCAATAGTCCTTTAAAAACATATCCACTGCCTCCAGGTATGTTCTACATACCCTACTGTCATGACCTCCCCAGAGTTCTTGTCGGTGACAAAATTGTTGGCCACAGTCATGAGCACTGATTGAATGATCTGAATTGGGAATAAAAGAAAAGAGATGAGTGCCGATAAAATGCCTCTACCTACTCGAACATGCGAGGATGAAGGGACAATAGACTATTCACAGTAAAACAGCCTTGCATCTTCAACATGGGAGTTGGAAGGAATCAAGACTGAGCAAGACAGATAAAAATACTTTGGGTTTCAGTCTTCCTGGCTATCCTTAGATTAAATTTTGCTCTCTTTTAGTATTATTTTTCAATATGGATTTAAAAAATTGCTTTGACTCAGGACCATCCAATGATTTTATTCTATTTTATTTATTTTTAAATAGGCTCTACACCCAGCATGGAGCCCATCACAGGGCTTGAACTCATGACCCTGAGATCAAGACCTGAGCTGAGATCAAGAGTTGGACGTTTAACCAACTGAGCCATCCAGGTGCCCCTCCAATGCTATTTTAATCAAATAAAGGAATTAGCGTTGAAAAATAATCACTATAAAAATTTACTGATTATTTTTTTAATTTACTGATATTCTTGTCTTCTCTGACAAAAGATTTAGCAATTAAAGTCAGAATTCTCAACAACTTATCTAAAACAACTTTACTTTTCTACGGTAATTTTTTTTTTTTTCCTCCAGTTTCTATAAACGTGTGTGTCTATCTCCTTAAGAGTTAGTGTCTCGGGGCGCCTGGGTGGCTCAGTCGTTAAGCGTCTGCCTTCGGCTCAGGTCATGATCCCAGGGTCCTGGGATCAAGCCCCACATCGGGCTCCCTGCTCAGCAGGGAGCCTGCTTCTCCTTCTCCCTCTGTCTACCACTCTGCCTACTTGTGCTCTCTGTCAAATAAATAAAATCTTTAAAAAAATAAAAATTAAAAAAAAAGAGTTAGTGTCTCTTCTCATTTTGAAGAAAAGGGGGGAAGGGGGCAGTCATCCCTGTGGGGAAAGCTACCATGATATATTTAATAGTGGCACTGCTATGCAGACAGAGGTAAGGTTTAAGAGTTCTCACCTCTGGGGGTACTAAGTGATGAGATGCTTGGGCAGCAAACAGAAGGATCTTTGTTACTTCTAAAAATGTAAGAGATCAGAAAGATCATAGTCAGCTTACTGTTCTGTCTCTTAGGACTATAGCAAACATGGCAAGCACGTTCTCACCTTACATGCTACCGCTGCTTATTCCAGCTGGAACACCCAACCCCCAGATCCCTGCCTGGCTCACTCCCTCACTTCCCTCAGGTCCCTGCTCAGCTGACGCCTTTTCCAAATGTCTTTCCTGACATAACCTAAACTGGAACCTACCCCAGCCCTCTTTGTTCTTTATTCTTCCTTTTTCCTCAAAATACTTATCTTCACCTGGACACTGTATACACAGCACTCTCTGGATCTCCCTCCAGAATGTAAGCTCTATGAAGATGAGGACATTCTTTATGTTCTCTGTGGAATTCTTAGCGACTAACTCAGTGTCCAGCCCAGAAATCACTAAGTAAGTGAGTAACTACAAACAAACATATACACATGCTCTCCCTTCAAAGGGGCAGTGTATATTAGGAACAAGACCTCTGGCAGAAGAAAGAAGTGAGGTGAATCCTAATTTGCCATTTATTTGCCGAGTGACCGAGTGGTCTTTTTATTTCTACACCTCCCAGGACTGAAGTGAAGATCTGATGAGATGATGTAGTAAAGCATTTAGCAGCACAGCGCTTGGCTCATGTTAGATGTTCAACGAATGCTGGCTTCCTTCCTATCTTGGTTCAAGTTCAAAGGCAAAAGCAACCATCTCTTCTTTCCTGCTCTTATGTTGTTTTTAACTAAGAATACACACGAAGACAATGATAACAGTAAGATAAAATTCTGATATCTATTACAGTTACAGTAGGTCAGACTTCATTTTTAGAACTTTCTACCTGTTTATAGTATTACAAAAAGACTTGCTTTGAGAATCCAGTCTTTTTTCTTCCAAAAATAACTATTTCTTAAAGTTGATAAGCAGAACATTTAACCCATGGCAGACTGGGGGAAAGAAAACATAAGGGTTTCTCTCCCCTTTTCTGAAACAGAACACACTTTACTCCTAACACTTGCCTTTAATAATTCCAGAACAAAAGGCATGGGTGGTTATTCTAACCCAAAGTCACCGAAGGAACATGGCAAGTGGGAAGCTTACCTCTTTGGTGGGGCTGCAGAAACCTTTGCACAAATGGATAGAAGTTAAAGAGAAAAAGCTGTGGAAAGAAGAATGCAGAGACTTTAATATTTATGTAACTGAAGCTATAGAGTTTTATTTCTCCCTAACACAATTTTATCACAAGCTCACCTAACTAGGGATCATCTTTTATTTTTGTTTTTTCTCAACAAGCATTCATGATTCAGTGTGCTATATTACCCAAGGAAAGGGAGGCTATACTGCTGCCATCCTCATTATGTCAAGGAAGAAGAATGTACATGCAGAATAAACCAGGGGAAAAAGAGGCAACCAAAATGTAACATTCTTCTACTTTTAAAATCGGTGTGGCTGCAGAACTTTTTTAAGTCTTCAAAGATAAACAGGATTATAGGAAGGAATAGCAATGATATTAAGGCTCCAAAGCAAGGGATAAAATAGTAACTCAAACCTGAATAACATCTGGTATAATTTAATCACCAAAACCCCCACAGTTCTCATTTTATTACTGGATACCAGTCCAATCACACTGGAGGAAGCTCTGTATTAGCTCGATATTACTCTGAGCACTCTAGAGTCTACCTAAATAAAGGTGACAGGGTCTAGTTATTAAAGCAACTGTATTTTTTTTTAAATTGTAGTTGACATACAGTATTATATTAGTTTCAGGTGTCCAACATAGTGACTTGACATTACTATACATTACAAAATGTTCACCAAAGCAGCTGTAATCTTTAACTACACAAGGAGAGAAGCTTTGGAAATGGATTGGTCTTTCTCAAAGTTCACCATGTCAGAATAAATTAATTTTTTCTATTTAGCCACAAAGCAAAACCAGGACCAGGACCAGACAAGTAATACGGAAGATTTAGGTTCAGTACAAAGATGGATGCTCAACTGTAGTCAGTTGTGAAACTCTAGTATCATTTCTATCAAACCATGCTTAAATTACACATCACTTCTGCTTTCCTATCAAGCTCAAATTTGGGCCTGACATGAAATTTCTGTGCAAATGTAACATAAATTCATCTGGTAATCCTGCTGTAGGACTACAGCCCGTGGAGAAAAGGCATTTTATTCATTAAGATGTTAAGTTTTTCTTAGAAAAAGGGAACAAGTGCTTTCATTATTCACATGTACTTTCATTTTTAACAGAATATTTGTTGACACTGCTAGATTATCAGTAAACAAGACTATTTTACTTTTTTCTTTAAATAAACTTTTTGAAGGGGGCACCTGGCTGGCTCAGATGGAAAAGTGTGGAACCCTTGATCTCAGGGTCACGAGTTCAAGCCCCGTGCTGGGTGTGATTACATAAAAATAAGTAAATAAATAAAACTTTAAAAAATAAACTTTTTGAAGAAAGCAACACATTCAATGATGTACAGAACAGCAAGTCTCAAGAGCGAAATGATAGGGAACAACCTCAACGCCATTGCTTCATGGCCTAACTTTTTGGAAATCTCATTTTCTACAATGGCAGTTAGTCTATTTAGTATGTGTTAAGTTTCCATATGTACGCACTTTACAGATATACATATATATGTATATAAAATACCACCAAGGAGCTCCTACAATTTAATTCAATATCAAATAAATGACCAGAGAATTCAGGTTTGCAAACATTGACAATCTCCTACCAGGGTGGTCTGGAAGCCAGGAAAGCTATAAAGGGATAAACAGACTGCAAAATGTAGTTACAGTCAATAAAAATACACAGGTTATGTTGACTCAGAAAAACGTATATGTAAAACAAAGTAGAAAAACAGAACACAAAATAGTCTGTCCACAAACTCAATATATGTATAATTTAACATCCATACTTACTGATAAGAAAACAAAGTGATAAAAATTGCTGTTTTGGGAGTGAAAGATTTTATTCTTCTATAAATTGTATGGGTTTAAATGGGTTTTGAGGGATAAAATTAAGCCACTGTTCTACCTTAGTGGCCTTCCTTTTACCAAGAATAATTCTATTTCTAATATTCACCGAAATGAGAAACATAATGTAATTCAAACCTCGTGAATTCCCACCAATCTGGAGATGAGGTTCATGAGCATCATTTTCACCTCAAACCTCTCTGTAGAGCTCTCTAGCTGCTTTAGTAGTTTTTCTGCAAAATCTGAAAAGAGAAGATCAGAGAAGTACACTGTGAGTCCATGGTCTGTACACCACTATCTAACAGGTGTAGAGAAAGGCAGTTGTTAGATCAGTGACTGTGGTAGAGCTGTACCTGAAATCTCTGCTGGTTAAGGATCCCCAAGATTTTTATTTATTTTTTTAAAGATTTTATTTATTTATTTATGAGAGAGAGGGAGAATGGCGTGGGGGGGGGGGGAAGGAGAGATGGAGAAGCTGAGCAGAGAGCCCAAAGTGGGACTCGATCCCAGGACCCTGGGATCATGACCTGAGCCGAAGGCAGACGCTTAACCAACTGAGCCACCCAGGCACCCCGGATCCCCAATATTTTTATGACTGACTGTTTGACAGAAGCTCCACTTAACAGTTCTTGGAACCTTGCTTTCCAAAGTATGGTCCACAGACCACCAGCAGCTGGTCCACCTGGTAGCTTGTTAGAAATACAGAATCTCGGGCCCCACCCTACACCTACTAAATCAGAATCTGCACCGACAAAAGATTATCAATTTTTCATTTAGTCAAGCACAATGTCCTACCACTACTGTTTGTTAATGACATAAAGTAAAGAACTCTTCCACATTTTTCTTATTTTGCTGTGGACTGGGAATTACAACTTTAGAACATAATTCCCCAGGCTACAACCAACTAGTAACAACAATTACTGATTGTCTATTAAGTGCCAGGGATCTTACATTCCCTGGTAACAGGCAGAGGTAAGGCCAAAAAGGAACCTGGGAAGTTATAATTATAATACCTTGGGGATCATGAATCAAATGAATAGCTGAAAAGTTAAAGACCTCTGGTTTTTTCTTCTTTTTTTGTTTCTGAAATAAAACGAGAGGAAAATCATTTACATTACACCACACTATTGTGGGAGAGAAACCTACAACAAATTTGTTTCAAAAGCCTTTCTTTCAACTGGAACTAAAGATGGTTTTTGTCTTTTTACATTAAACCTCGGGAATGTTCCAGCAAATAGCACCTGTGAGACTTCAAAGAATTTAGAAATAGAAACATTAAAAGACACAGAAGGGCCAAATTAATGAGTTTTCAGACTAACCATTACAAAATATAAAATGTATTTCACTGGTACACTCTTCTGAGAAGATAAATCTAGCAAAAATACCCTAGTATGAGCCATCTTGATCAGAACAAGTGAAAAGTGAGTTTAATCAAATTTAATCAAGTCACAGATTTTGCTAGAGCTGAAAACATTTTGTCATCTAAAAAACCAGTACTTAAAAATTCATCACACATTTCTAAGTTTCCCAAAAAATGCCAATTCTTTATTTCAAATACTTAAATGCGTTTCCTAAAAACCCCATATTCTATAGTCTAATGATTTCTACCTCATTTGCCAGGTACAAGTCTCACCTTGAGCACTTTCATAGCCTTTTCCAACTTTTTCTTGTGTTTGGAGCTTTTCTTCCCTGTGGCATATTGCACTAGAAGGTCTCTTGCTGTTGGTCCTTCATCCTGAAGAAGAAACTACTTTGTAAACAAGGAAAATCTGCATAGAAGCAAATAGTAAGGCTTTCAAAGTCTTCTTTGCATTTGTACTCTGCAACTGCTATCAAAAAGGAGCATGACTTAAAATTCAATAAAAAATATTTGCCTATGTGTACAAACAGGTACATACCTGGAGCACTGATTTTTGTTTTTATATTTTGCTTTTAATTTTTATCAAAATATAAAATACAACGTTGTTTTTATTTGAAAAAAGAAACTGGAAACACTATCACTAGGAAAATGCGTAAGCCAGAATACATTCACATTCTGAAATATGTGGAGGTTAAAAGAATGAGGTAGATCTGTATGTACTAAATGCATTGGTATATCCATATATACAACACAAAGAAAGCAGGTTGCAAAATAATATACATATCATTTATATACATTTCAAAGATCTAATATACGCATAACATATACACATCCACACATAAACACATGGGAAAGCAAATGGTTATCTGTGAAGATGGAACAGGGAAGTAGAAATAAGACAGGATCAAGAACTTTTATCTATAGTACCTGTAATTTTTTATAAGAATATATTATTCACACATTATTTAATAACAAATGAATTAAAAGATCTTATTACATATTCTCATATTCTTGTTACCACAATGCTAATATGAGAAAGGTATTTTTTCTTAGAATTTCTTTTTGATTTTACTAAAAAGTATTTTTTAATAAAGAAAATTTCATGACATCATAAATCTTCATTTAGCCTTTTTAAAAGAGGTCACAATATTATTCCTCTCCTTCCCTAAACACTCTATGATATTGACATCATCTCAAAAAATATATTGGAGGCAATTTTCACTCTAAGTTTATATAATGAGTTCAAGGCATAGCTTTAGAACTAAGAACAAGGCTAAATGAATTTAACTTTTATTAGTTCTTTAAAACCAATCTTCGTGAACATAAGTGACAAATTCTAAATAGAATAAAATCTCAGCATGCAGAACACAATAAAGGATAAAGATAACATGTAAGTGTCTTTCTAACTTGAGCAGTCATGCATTTTACAATCTGTACTGAGAGCAATAAAGAAATCTGACAGACTACTGTAAAGTTCAGAAGCATCTATGGTTGAACGTATAACCTCAGATTCTGAGTCGCTGTCCTGTTTCTCCTCTTCATCTTTCCCAAGGAAAAATGTCAAAGCAGCAACTAATATCTAAAGACCAATCAGAACAAGTCAATTACTCACTCCAGCTTATAACAAAGAATAAATACTTTTGTTTACGCATTATTCATGCACAGAACTAGGATCTGAAGGAACAAGATCAGACTGATGGGATTTGGGTCCATTTTTCTCAATTAAAACATAATGTTGTTACACCATTGTTTGTCCTAAAAGTATACATAATTTTAAAAAATTATCTTTAGATTAAAGCAGCCAGGTTCTACATAGTTATCTTTTAAGCAGACTACCAGGAATTTCTATATCCCCGCCTCTGTCCCAGAAAGTGACATTTTTGTCTTTGACTTTCTAACAGAAAGTCAAACATGTTCTTAAATTTCTTTCAGCTGTGCTTGGGCCCAATAAAAGAAGAGTCAAGAATTACAGGGGAAAACAAACACTAAGGCTATCATTTGTAAATGATAAGGCTATCATTTACTACAAAGCATTTAAAAAACTCGTAACTTTGTTTGCCTCCTCTAAAGCACAGATGAACCAGGGAAGCAGCCTAAACAGAGAGAGAGCACTACTAAACATGCACTGCATGCCCATACAGTACCTCTTCCTCACATGCCCATCTCCTTGGTACTCACAGTGCCTTCACACAGCCCTACAGACACTCACCTTGGTGACCTTAGAGAAACATGCAGTTGTGATCACATTGACAGTTTTGGCATCATTCCTGGAGTAAGACAAATGAGTGTTTTCAAAGTAAATTTTCATTCTCTTGCATTTTATAGCATTGACAATGGCACAAAATAAACAATATATATTTCTGACATGTTAGACTCCACAGTTTAAAAAGTTGTGGGTTGCAATAAATAATCATGGGTTGCCAAACAAACAAAAAAAATCATGGATTGCTAAATTGTCAACCCCAGTGAACATTTAATTAAACTTTAGCCCAGTCTTATGTCAGAAAATTATGCAGCCATTTAATATGGATTTTTTTGAAGAATTTTTAATGACACAGGAACATACTCAAGAGAAACAAAATGAATAAAAACTTAATAGTACTGCAAAATTCCAACCATATTTAAAAATTCATGTTAAAGGGGGCATCTGGGTGGCTCAGTTGGCTAAGTAGCCAGCTCTTATTTCAGCTCAGGTCATGATCTCAGGGTCCTGGGATCTAGCCCCGAGTGGGGCTTCGCACTAAGCGGGAGTCTGCTTGAGGATTTCTCTCCCTCTCCCTCTGCCCCTCCCCCTGCTGTGTGTGCACACGCTCTCTCTCTCTAAAAAATGAATAAATCTTTTTTTTTTTAAGATTTTATTCATTTATTTGACAGAGAGAGACACAGCGAGAGAGGGAACACAAGCAGGGGGAATGGGAGAGGGAGAAGCAGGCTTCCCGTGGAGGAGGGAGCCCGATGCGGGGCTCGATCCCAGGACCCTGGGATCATGACCTGAGCCAAAGGCAGACACTTAACGACTGAGCCACCTAGGCGCCCCCCAAAATGAATAAATCTTAAAAAAATTCACGTTAAAGAAAAAACAGGAGAAAATATCATAAACTATTAACAGTGGATCACCTCTGCGTGGTGAAACTATCAAAAAAATTTTAAACAACCTTTCTAGCTCCTAGTTTTTTGTTGCAATGAATATTACTTTTATAGCGAAAAAAGACATGAATTGGGAACAATGTACCAACAAACCAAAGTTTACAGAGCCTGATACTTTATATACATGGGATAAACTGACTTGGAAATCCTCAGAGTGACAGAGCAGGAAGAGCACAGATTTCAGAGTCTGACATGTGGGTTTGAATTTCAGCTCTGCCCTTGACTAGCTACTAAGCTTACACTCTATGAACTTTAGTTTTGTTACCTATAAAATGGGGATAATTCCAGATAAGCTGCATTATGTTGTTTTAAAGGTTGAAAGAAATAATATGAGGTGTAGGTGGCTCAAGAAATGGTTGCCAATGTTATTAGTTATTTGGATTGCTATTTCTAAAAATTTCCAACTTAATCTATGACAGCGGTATATTTAAGAGCTCAAGATCAAGAAAAATATTTGTGTATGTACTCTGTAGTAATTATAAATGAATGAGAGTCTCCTTCTCAAGAGACAAATACATACCAGATGTTTCTTCTGTAGAGTTCAATCATCACATCCAAAGATATCTTAGCTGCAGTTGCATTGCTGTCTCTTAACATGGTGTACATGAAATTCTGCAACACCTTAAGAAAAAGAGAAGAAAGAAGACTTAATATAATACACTGCTGGTACATAATGCAAACATGAGAAACAAAAGGGTACTTACTATATTCACTTTATTGTTCTTGTGTTTTGCATTTATATTCTTGATATCAGTGACAATATGTGTGTATAAAGTCTAAGGAAAGGAAACAAAAACATATATTAACTAACATTTCTAACTTTGCTCAGTTTGGAGAAAAGTACAAATGCATGGGAGAGTTTAATTTTATGTACTTTTCATTGTATAAGACACCATAAACAAAACAAAAAGCAGCAGCTAAAATGCAAAAGGAAAGTTGTCCTAAAAAGGTTAAACAAGGAGTTACCATATAACCCAACAATTCCAAGAAAAATGAGAACATATTTCCACATAAATATTCACAGCAGCATTATCCGTAATAGCCAAAAAGTGCCCTAACTGTCCATTGATGAAAAGACAAACAAAATGTGGTATACCCATACAACGGAATATTACTTGGCAACAAAAAGGAATGAAGTATTGAGACATTCAACAACATAGATGAACTATGAAAGCAGTATGCTAAGTGAAAGAAGCCAGACACAAATACTACGCGTGTTGGGTGATTCCATTTATATGAAATACCCGGCACAGGCAAATCTATAGAGACCAAAAGTAGATTGGTGGTTACCTAGGCCTGAGAGAGATGGGGAAATGGGGAGTGAATGTTAATGGGAATGGGGTTTCTTTTTGAGGGGGATAAAAATGCTCCAAAATTGTTTGTAGTGATGGTTGCAAACTCTATGAATATACTAAAAACCACTGAACTGTACACTTTCAAAAGATGAATTGTATGTGAATTATATCACAATAAAGTTATTTTTAAAAAGGAAAATTGCTCCATTTACTTGGCCCCTACCTACCACTGGTGCCCAAAATATACTCCCATAGACAACTTTTATCTCACAATTAGACCAAGAAGTACAACTGCTAAAATCAAATGGTGGCAGTCTCTTAACACTCAGAAAAAAAAATTTTTAAGTTAATAAATGTAAACTTAAATTTTTCTTTCTTCAATTTCTTTCACAAACCTTCAGCTCTGGTCTTACTTATACAAGCAAATACAAAGTCACAGGGAAATATTAGTAACAAAAAAAGTGTTTTGGGAGATAGAGTGGGGGCTGTTATAGCTAGGAGTGTCCAGTCCATGCTCTGATTTAGCTCGTCAGTATAGTACAGTTGAAAAAGGCATGGGTTCTGGAGCCATACTGCCTGCCTGGGTTTATATTCCTGCCTCGCCACTAACATGGCCCATGATTCTGGGCATCTTACTCTACCCTCTTTGTGCCTCAGCCTTTTCATTTGTAAAATAATAGTAATAATAAACCCAATCTCATTTTGTGAGTAAACAAATAAATATGTCAGAAGCTCTAAATGGTACCTGGCAAAAAGTAAGCACTCAATAAATGTTATCTATTAGCACCATATTGTATGCACACAAACATTGATTTTTTTCCTATTAAAATTCTTAACCGTATCCAATAACGCGAAGTACCAAGAATTCAATCTACAAGTTTAACATCACTGCAAGAAAAATGAAATATAAGGGGGGGAAAGCAATTTTGCTCTTTACCTTTCGCAGAAGCTTATCATGGCAACGCAGAAGTTCAAAGAAGAGTTCTAGCAAACTTGATGGGTTGATGAGATTCTTATTTCTCAGCAAGATCAAACCTTTGCAAAATGTCTAAGGAAGGAAGAAAACATACTATATAATAATGATGAAATTAAGATGAGAAAAGGGAGAATGTACACCCCAAAAGAGCATGCTGTCTTCTACTAATTAGGCACTATTCTGGGCATTAGAACAGAACAGTCAGTCTCTGCCCTCATGGACCTACCACTGGGAGTGGGGCAGGAGAGCGGGATAGAGGAGCAAGGAAGCACATAAACAGGTGTATCTCAATGATATGTGTCATGAAGAAAGTAAAACAGGATAATATAAGTGATACACAGTGACTGAGGGAGGGCTACTTTACACATGGAGTTGAAGGAATGTCAAGATATAACAAACCCGGGCCCCTGGGTGGCTTAGTCAGTTAGGCATCTGCCTTCGGCTCAAGTGATGATCTCAGGGTCCTGGGATCGAGCCCCGAATCAACTGAATCAAGCTCCCTGCTCAGTGGGGAGTCTGCTTTTCTCTCTCCCTCTGACCCTCCTCCCTACTTGTGCCCCGCCGCCCCCCCCAACCCGGTCTCAAAAAAAAAAAAAAGATAGACAAACCCCTAGTGATCAGTGAATGAACAAAGATAAGAAAGGTGGGGTAACAAGAACAGAATAAACTGGGGGCGCCTGGGTGGCTCAGTTGGTTAAGCGACTGCCTTCGGCTCAGGTCATGATCCTGGAGTCCCGGGATCGAGTCCCGCATCGGGCTCCCTGCTCGGCGGGGAGTCTGCTTCTCCCTCTGACCCTCCCCCCCTCATGTACTCGCTCTCTCTCATTCTCTCTCTCTCAAATAAATAAAAAATCTTAAAAAAAAAAAAAAAAAAAAAACAGAATAAACTGGAATCATCAATCTGAATTTGTGACCTTACAAGGTATTCCTTGGAAGTACTGTTAGTACCAAGAATCAGCCAACAGCACTCGTAGCACTCCTGCTTACAGCAACTTTCATGAGTAGCCTTATCGCCCAAGGTTTGGCTTCTACTACCGTCCTCCATTAATGGAACAAGTAATCCTTGGAGAATAGTTGATTCCAAGTCTTGGGGCAGGAAAAGCAGTAAAAAAGGTTTTGGAATTATTTCTGCCAGAATATAAGGATGCTTTCAAAAATATCAGGGGCTTTGCCGAAAGGACTGAAAAGCTCCCACTGGCTAGGTAATAACAATTAACAAAAAATGATAAATAATGCTTAAAAAAAGAAATGAATACAAAGGACATAAAAAGCCGGACGTGCCTGGGCGGCTCAGCCATTAAGAGTCTGCCTGGAGTCTAGTTCAGTCACACAGAAGCCCTGGAGCACAAACTGCAATACGAAGTTGGACCTACACCGAGGGAAGAGGCTGGGCTTTTGTACCTCTGGTTTAGTCAGGTACCACCTATAGGCTGAGAGGGCAACCTCCCACGTGCTAGGGCTGTCATTTAGCTGGAGACAAGGCACTGGAAAAAGGATAGCTGGGGGCCAGTAACAGCCAACATTCACCACAGGTGAGGGAAATGGGAGCACGAAGCTGGTAAAGGGGCTCTCAGCCAGGACCGAACATCAACCACTAAAGTGACAATATTTAAATGCTTAAACTGGCCAGTTAATGAATAAATTTATTAAATTAAGCATTACAGGAGTGTTCCTATCAATTCTGGTTTGGCACTGCCCAATTTGAACTGAATTTTACTCAAACTCTTAAAATTTAAAAATAAAGGAATAAATAAAGCATTGTAAAAACTGTAAATTATAATTAGGGTTCTTAATGCATAAGAGATTTGAATGACTAGGGATGCCTGGGTGGCTCAGTCAGTTAAGCGTCTGCCTTCAGCTCAGGTCATGATCCCAGGGTCCTGGGATAGAGTCCCCCATCAGGATCCTTGCTCGGCAAGGAGTCTGCTTCTCCCTCTGCCTCTGCTGCTCCCCCTGCTTGTGCTCTCTCTCTCTGACAAATAAATTAAAAAAAAATCTTAAAAAAAAAAAAGAGAGATTTGAAAGACTAGAAGAAATCATGTATTTAGAAGAGCATCCTGGCAGGGTTAGCATGCTGGAAGAACAGAAAGATCAGAGAGAGAGGGGGGTGTAGAAGAAAAGGAGATGAGGTCAAAAATACTGGTGGGGGCACCTGGCTGGCTTAGTCGGTAGAGCATGCAACTCTTTTTCCTATTTTTTTTAATGATGTTAGTCACAGTTAGTACAGTACATCATTAGTTTTTGATGTAGTGTTCCATGATTCATTGTTTGTGCATAACACCCAGTGCTCCATGCAGAATGTGCCCTCTTTAATACCCGTCACCAGGCTAACCCATCCTCCCACTCCTCCCCTCTAGAACCCTCAGTTTGTTTTTCAGAGTCCAGTCTCTCATGGTTCGTCTCCCCCTCCAATTTCCCCCCCTTCATTCTTCCCCGCCTGCTATCTTCTTCTTCTTCTTTTTTTTTTTTAACATATAACGTATTATTTGCTTCAGAGGTACAGATCTGTGATTCAACAGTCTTGCACACTTCACAGGAGCATGCAACTCTTGATCTCAGGGTTGTGAGTTTGGACCCCACATTGGGTGTAAAGGTTACTTAAAAATAAAATCTTAAAAAAAAAAACAACCGGGGCGCCTGGGTGGCTCGGCCGTTAAGCGTCTGCCTTCGGCTCAGGTCATAATCCCAGGGTCCTGGGATCGAGCCCCACATCGGGCTCTCTGCTCGGCGAGAAGCCTGTTTCTCCCTCTCCCACTCCCCCTGCTTGTGTTCCCTCTCTCGCTGTCTCTCTCTGTGTCAAATAAATAAATAAATAATCTTTAAAAAAACAAAAACAAAAAAACCAACCGTTCCCCCCGCAAAAAACCCAAAACCTTGGAAAACAGATCACGTAGGGACTTACAGGCCATGTAAGTATTGTAGAGTTTTACTCTAAGTATAAATGAGAAGCCACAGAAAGATTTTAAGGAACAGGTGACACATTCTGATTGACACATTCTGATTTACATTTTAAGAAGACGTTTAGCTGAGGCTGTTCTCATTTAAACACATATTATTTGCACACATAAACACAGCACAATATATCAATCCAAATACTGGACCTACCATTCGAAGATCTGGATCCAAGACAGTGTGATTGTAGGAGAGAAGATCTTTCAGCTCTTGAGGAAAATTACTTAAATGTTCTGGATAGCAGTGACCAATCTGTAACAAAGCAAAGGTTCTTCTGAAGTTTCTCTTTCTCTCCTATAATTCATATGCACATATTTATGATGCTCTGCAAAAGGAGAGTAAAAGGCTGTTTCATAGAAGTAGATGGTTTCAAATCATTTCTTTTTATTCTACATGCTATTTTTCTGACCTCTTTCATATTTCTTCTAACCTTAGTGAAATATGTGTGACATGAGTTAGAATCTGCTCTTATGAATTTGATAAAAAACCAAACAGCCTGAAAGTTTTCCTTGGGTGGTTCTGCGCAACACTCCAGCAAAATCTTCTAATTCAGCTTAGGGAGAAAATAAAATTTGCAAAAACGGAAGCTTAAAAAATTTTTTTTAAATTAAGTTTCCATTCTTGAATGGAATAAGGTTGGATAGTACTAGAAAAATATTCTGCAAACTGTATAAAACAACTGGTCTTTGTTTTACTCAGAAATCATCTTACCTGTGCCATAAACATCACCAGCTCTGCCAGTTCTTTGCTAGGTTTGTTTGGTTGTAATTTGAAAATCTCCACATTGGATTTGTAGTGATTATACTGCTGTAGAAACTGTAGGAAAATAAAATTTAAGTTGTCACCTTCTATTATATGACTTTCTCAGTAAAGAATGAGAAATTACTTAGTAGACATCTCTGATAGTGGCACGGACAAACAGATATGGTAAAAGTGTGGAGAAATATCTTTTCCTTACCTGCATTCTTCAAAATAAGTTTTGAAAAATGTGAGCACATCATAGGTAATCTAAAGACCCTTTCCTTTATCATTAGAAACATAGGTGATGTGGTGTAAAGCACATTAAAGCAAGCGTCAAAAACTCAGATTCAATATATAGAGCAGTCATAGCAGCAGAAAAATATAGATCAGAAAAAGGAAATTATGTCGCAACTATGTAAAACTCTCCAGTCAAAATTCCCCTCTTCCTTTAAACAATGATTAAGATTTTATCCTGGGGTTCTAGATAGGGTGTGTCAACAGCCAAAAGCAATACACAGAAATAATGATAATAGCTTCCACTTACTCAGCACTTGCTGTATGCCAAAGTCATTATGTACATTATCTCATTTAATTATATTTAATTCTAACAACTACCCAACAATCTAATGTTGGAACTCACCAGGCCTCAGTTCCATGCCCTACATCTACTCTCCAGTCCTAGACCACAACTTTAAATTGTGTGTGTATGAGAGAGACACTATGAGAATGAGTATTTTTTTTTTAAGATTTATTTATTTTTAGAAAGAGCGCGTGCGTCCGTGCGCGCGATCATGAGTGGGGGTGAGGGGCAGAAGGAAAGAATCCTCAGGCAGACTCCCTGCTGAGAGGGGAGCCCATGACTGGGCTCCATCCCAGGACCCCGAGGTCATGACCTGAGCCAAAATCAAGTCAGTTGCTTAACTGAGCCACCCAGGCACCCTAAGAATGAGTATTTCTTTGCATTAGCAGCCCTAACGGGGCCAGTTCACTCTAAATTCATTATCTCCAATTGCCTGACATGTATTTAGATACCTAAAAGACATCTTAAACCTAGCATGATAAAAAAAAACATAACTTTTGATTTCCCCCAACAAAACTCTTAGGCCTCCAGCTTTCTCCAAGACCAGGAGTCAAGAAAAAGACCTACAGCCCCTACATGCTTCAGATAAGTTGCTGCTCTTTTGACTCCACACCACCATTGACAGGAGTGAGGAGGGGGCCCCAGAACTCCGTGTGCTCCTGGCAATATCCTTATCTCACTTCTTTCCCCCTCCTATCCATGGCCCAGCCATCACTATCTGCCTTGAGATCCTAAGAACTGGTATCATTACGCCCCTTATGTTCATCAGTCACGACAAATGTCCAGGACTCCCAGGTCATCCCTCCTTCCCCTTCTCTAAGCCCCAGACCAGCGGAATTAAGAACTCTTGGGCGGGGCCAGGCCATAGTATTTTTTAAAGTACCCTAGCCATTCCGATACTCTGGAACAATGTTTCTCTCCTGACACACTGCTGCCCCGTTTTCTTCCGCTCAGGAAGTGTCCTCTTTCTTCCTCGGTGCTACTTCCAGAAAACTGGCATCCCTCCAGATTGGTACCCTTTCCTGCTCCTTAACTGTCCCCACTGCCAGCTTTGAATCTTATGTCTGGAGGTCCATTTCCGGCTCTCGGAAACAGACGTCGATGGAAGGCATTTTAACATACGACTCAAGTGTTACCGACTTATTCAACTTAGGGGTTTCTGAAAGCAAAAGGCTGAAAAATCTGCATGGAAGTTGGAGGCTGGGGGGGCATTTGTCCCTCCACTTCTATGAGGTCGGAAGATAAACGTTTAGAAAATCCAAACAGGCAGCAAATTTCCATGAGGCGGGGAACGAAACCAGAGGCATGTCCCTTCCTCAACCTCGTCTCTCCTCCCGAGGGTTCCCTGAACCTAACCGGAGAACTTGGGGCGAGCTAGGACCCCAGTTCCATTCCACACCTTCCCCTATGTCTCAACCAGTCGCGCCCCGGCCTCTAGCGGCGCTACGCCTCACTCCCACCTCCTCGACGTAGGCTGGCGGATCCCGCTTGATCAGATTCTGTAACTGCGGCAGGTTGCTGGGCAGCTTGTTATTGTTTCTGTTAGACATGCTGGCTGCTGACTGGCTCCGCAGGGAACAGTTTTAAGAAACCCCACACCGCCGACAACCACCAACCGTGTCGGCTAGGTGTGGGAATCGTGCTTCCGAGAATGACCGGAAACAGCACATGGGACTCTCGGCAGGCGGCGCCATCTTGGCTCTTAAAAAAAAAAAAAAAAATCAGCGAGACTACGGGAGCCTCGGAGTGTCAAGTTTACTCCCACTACCGAAATGCCGGTAGTGGTTTACGCGAGGTTTTGATTTTTTTTCCCCAGCACACTTTAGTTTATATCGTCATTCTGACTCTCCTGTGAAACAGGTAGATAAGGATTAATCGTTTTTTAAATCCCACAGCCTAAGGCCAGAAGCTTTTTCCTTTGGGAGTGGATAGCACTATCCTATTTTAGAATGGGGGGAAAAAGCGATGAGGTGCGTGTTACTCTTTGCTGTAACTTTAAATACCGTTTTTGTTTTGTTTTTGGTTGTTTCAACCCACGGTAACCCACCCAAGGGAAAGGGGTGTGGCCTGGATAAAATGTAATAATGCTGATTGATTTAAAATTGCAAATTAGGGACGCCTGGGTGGCTCAGTCGGTTAAGCGACTGCCTTCGGCTCAGGTCATGATCCTGGAGTCCCGGGATCGAGTCCCGCATCGGGCTCCTTGCTCAGCAGGGAGCCTGCTTCTCCCTCTGCCTGCAGCTCTCCCTGCTTGTACTCTGGCTCACTCTCTCTCGCCTATGCTCTCTCTCTCTCTCTCTCTCTCTCTAGCAAGTAAATAAATAAATAAAATCTTAAAAAAAAAATAAAATTGCAAATTAATTTGTATTTAAAGGACAACCATTGTTATAACCTTTATAGGTACTCTTCAGCCACAGTTTTAAATTCAGATGCTGGTAATTCGAAGAGAATACATTTCTACAATTTCACAGTGTGCAAAAACAAATATGATGAATGAATGAATTAACGAGTTAGGGTGTTGTTAATACAAAAACACGCGCGTGATCACTCACTCTATGCCAGGCACTGTTGCAAGCACTTCACTTGCAATACTCATTTAATCCTCGGAAAAGCCCTCTAAATTAGGTACTGTAATTATCTGCACCTTACAGAGGAGGAAATAGGCTCAGACAAACTGACTGCCCAAATTCATAGCTGGTGTGGGAGCTGAGGATTTCAGTCCAGGCAGTTTTGATTGTACCTAGATGAGAAAGGAAAGGAGACTCACAGCTGTCACCTAGTAACTGTTCTGGCATTAATAGAAGGACAGTGGTATTCTTTGCTTAACGTAAACAATTTAGGTACACCTGGCTGGCTTAGTGGGCTAGCATGCCACTCTTGATCTCGGGGTTGTGAGTTCAAGCCCTACATTGGCTATAGAGATTACTAAAGTTACTAAAATAAATTAATAATAATAATAAAAAAAACAATTTCACAAAACAGTAACTTCAGGGCGCCTGGGTGGCTCAGTTGGTTAAGCGACTGCCTTCGGCTCAGGTCATGATCCTGGAGTCCCGGGATCGAGTCCCGCATCGGGCTCCCTGCTCAGCGGAGAGCCTGCTTCTCCCTCTGACCCTCCCCCCTCTTATGTGCTCTATGTCTCTCTCATTCTCTCTGTCTCAAATAAATAAATAAAATCTTTAAAAAAAAAAAAAAAAAAAAAACAGTAACTTCATTTCAGTCCAGGTCATCACAGAACGGGATAGAATGAGCCCAAAACAAGATAACTCTGTAATCACACCCGAGGACAAACAAAATCAAGAATGTTGTGCAAACCACCATTAATTTTCAACTATGTTTAGAAAATGGCTATTCTATTTATTAATTGTTGAGTCAGGTGCTTGTGAAGTTATTAAGAAGTAAATGTAGGCAGTAAATATATTTTTTTAAAGCCTATTCAGAGGGGCATCTGGCTGGCTCAGTCTGTAGAGCCAGGGATTCTTGATCTCAGGGTCATGAGTTCAAGGCCTACGCTGGGTGTAGAGATAACTTACATGAGTAAATAAATTTTTAAAAATTAAAAAAAAGCAGGAGGGGAAGAATGAAGGGGGGGAAATCGGAGGGGTAGACGAACCATGAGAGATGATGGACCCTGAAAAACAAACTGAGGGTTCTAGAGGGGAGGGGGGTAGGAGGATGGGTTAGCCTGGTGATGGGTATTGAGGAGGGCACGTTCTGCATGGAGCACTGGGTGTTACGCACAAACAATGAATCATGGAACACTTCATCTAAAACTAATGATGTAATGTATGGGGATTAACATAACAATAAAAAATAATAATAAAAAAATAAAAATAAAGAAGGAAAACTTGGGACAAAAAAAATTGCTGAGTCACTATATTGTACACCTGAAACTAATATAACACTGTATGTTGGCTATACTGGATTTAAAATAAAAAACTTAATAAAATTTTAAAAAAATTTTAAAAACCCAGTCATAGATTTAAATTTAAAAAAATGTTTTTAACTAGGTTGTATTAGGGAAAAAAAGTATCCTCAAAATGAAATATATTGAGAAATTTTTTGAAATTATTTGATAGAATTCCTGTCAAAATCATAAGCTTATGTACTATGAAGCTTTCATCACAAAGATATGACATGAATAAAACACTCAGGCTATGTCACAAACTTTTATTTGCCCTCTGTACGTCAGGAACTAGGGTAGGTGCTGGGAATACAAAAATAAATGAGGCATGGGCATTTGCCCTCAGGGAGCTCACAGACTAAAAAGGGAGATAAATAGACAAGGACTTTTAAAATGGATAAAAATGTTCTTACAGTAGAGCAGTAGAAGCCACGGAAAGGACAACCCAACCTAGAAGAACCAGAATATTTCATAGTTATGGTACTACTTGCTTGAAATCCTGAAAGAAGAGGAGTTTTTCTGGAGGAGGGAAAGAAAGTCTTTCCACATAAAGAAAATAGCCTGTTTAGAGGTATAAAGTCTTGAAAAAGTCTGGTGGATTTAAGGGATTGCCAGAAGTTTGGTGTGACTAAATGTTGGGAAGGGAGTGTGCAGCAGGGAAGGAGCTGAGAAAAATGAGTCAGCTGAGGTTATGGAGTCCTAATGTTGAGAGGCTTTCTGTGCTCATCTAAGGAGGGCATGTAAGTCTGCTCAAGAGAAAACTAAGGCTGAGAGTGACTAACTGAATATGTATTTTCTTAAATTTATTTTGACAGAGAAAGAGATGGAAAGAGAGAGCACAAGCAGGAGGAGAGGGAGAAGCAGACTCTCCACTGAGTAGGGAGCCCCATGCAGGGCTCAATCCCAGGACCCTGGGATCATGACCTGAGCCAAAGGCAAACGCTTAACCAGTTGAGTCACCCAGGCACCCCCTGAATATGTATTTTTAAAATATTAAACAATGGCTAGGGGCACCTGGGTGGCTCACTCGGTTAAGCATCTGCCTTCAGCTCAGGTCATGATCTCAGGGTCCTGGGATCGAGCCCCGCATCAGGCTCCCCGCTCTGTGAGAGGCCTGCTTTTCCCTCTCCCACTGCCCCTGCTTGTATTCCCTCTCTCGCTGTCTTTTTCTGTCAAATAAATAAAATCTTTAAAATAAAATAAAATAAAATATTAAACAAAGCCTATATTGCATGTAACATAATCTACATATGTTTAACGTATATGAGCCAGATCAACACCAGGAGAACTCCATATTCATTTCTATATTTAGTCTTCAATTGGCAAAGAAACTTTTCATCTTTTTCTGATCTCCAAATAACTTTTAACCTGAAGTGAATTATTCTAGAAAAGAAAATCTCCTTTTACCTTTGCAAAAGAGACCCTATAATAATTATAAAATAGATCGTATCATCTGGATTCAAATGGAGTAAAAATCTCTTTATTAAAAACGCCTAGACTAGGGGCTATTTTAAATTTTGATTGCATAAGAAGCACACTCTTCTTTTATCTTCATTTGGGGTGCCTTTTGGGGGGGTATAATATTCCAGACAATAGCGTGAGCACCAGTTTTGAGCCATTAAATCTCTATTACAAGTAGTAGGAAGAAGGAAGGTGTTTCCGGAAGGGCAAAAGGGTGCACCCCCCCAACTGAATTAGCCTTATAAAAGTTCCAAACAATGTAATACTAATGCATTTATCTCCTTGGTCAGAACTTAGTGAGATGGATAGTCCTACAAAGGAGTGTTTTGGTTGGGTACAATGAAGCTTTGAATAAAGGAAGGAGAGATTACATTTGTTTTGAGGAATAAGGAAAGGTTTCATGAAGATAGGTGTACTTGAGATAGGTCTTGAAAGCCATGTAGTTTTGATATGCAGGGGGATACATAGAAGACAAAGAAACAAGAACTCAATTGAGACAGGTAGTAACTTCATAAGAGTTTATTAGTATCATCTAAGTAAGAGAACTTTGTGATGTTCCTTAGGAAGTATTTCCTTCTTTGTAAAAGGAAAATGTTGAACGAAGCCAATCTCATGCCAACCTCATGATGGGAGGTACGATCCATATGATGATCAACTGAAATTTTCCATTAAATTGATGCTAAATATATTCTCTTTATTTATTTAACCTTATATAAAACAATAATACCTGGGAATGATGGGTTTAATGTGCTGGTGATATTTTTTTGAGCCCATCTAAGGTCAACACCTCTGATTCCACATGAGATCCCATCCTTTATTTTTTTATGATCATATATTTATGTATTTATGTATTTTTTTTACATTTTAATCTTTTTAAAAATTAACATATAATGTATTCTTTGTTTCAGGGGTACAGGTCTTGATCATGTATTTACTTTACAGATTCATTAAGATGTAATCAGTCTGCAAGAAATTGGCCATAAAGTGTACAATTTGATGAGTTTTGATATATGTATGCATCCACAAAACCATTATCACCATCAAGGTAATGAAAATATCCATTAACCCCAAGTTTCCTTCTGCTCCATCATCCCCTGACAAACATGCAGTTGCTTTCTGTCACCGTAGATAAGATTGCATTTGCAGAAATGTTATACAAATGGAATCATATGTTATTCTTTTTTTTTTAAAGATTTATTTATTTGAGACAGGGAGGGAAAAAGAGAGTGAGCAGAAGCGGGGGGAGGGGCAGAGTGAGGAGCAGACTCCCCACTGAGCAGAGAGCCCAAAGCAGGGCTCAATCCCAGGACTCTGGGATCACGACCTGAGCCGAAGGCAGATGCT